CTCCTAGGATGCCCATAGCCTTCTTTGCGGTTTTAGCACAGTGATTTGACGGATCGAGGTTGGGCGTCATGCATACACCTAGATCCCATCGTTCGTTCACTTACCCGAGGTGGCGACCTCCGATCGAGTTGTCATACTCAAATGGTAGCACTTTTCTGTTAGTAGACCGTAAGCGGACGACTTGGTTCTTGTTGAAATTGAGCTAAAGTAGTCACTTTTCACACCAATTTTGCAAGCGACCGAAGTTATTTTGTAAGGTCTGTCCATTCGTAGAGCTTTTGATTGAATTCCAAATCTTAAGATCGTCTGCAAACATGACTTTCTCACAGATGAGGCAGTCTTTTGCATACACCAGAAATAGAATGGGTCCCAGAACGCTTTCTTGCGGAACCCCGCTGGAAATGGTTTTCCATTCTGTTTTGGCGTCTCCAATATAAGCATGCTGACATCTGCCTGTTAGAAAGTCGGCTAACCATTTGAGTAGATTTCCAGTTACACCCATTTTACGTAGCTCTGATATGAGTTGTCTGTTGGAACATAGTCGAATGCCTTGCTGTATTCAAAGTAGATCGCATCGACCACATTTCGAAATTATACTACTTGGCATCGGTTTTGAAAATAGGATTTCAGAAAGTCGATAAGGAAATGCGTGTACTCCCCTGACTTATTATCTCCGCCATCAGTCATTCATGGGGAACTATTTCGAAGGCTTTTAGGGTCGAAGCAAATTGGAGTTACCGGATTCCCGTCATCCCTGTTTCTGTTGACGAACCCCGGGAAGGGGAGATGGCAGGATTAACATGACTTTTTGGGTAAAAAGGCGTATAAAGGGGATGTATGAAGTTAACGTTTGCCAGATGTCAACCACTCCCAAGTTATGCAGTAGAGACTGGTGCGAGACACCGTCGAAGGCCTTCCCGAAACAAATAGAGGCCGCATCCATTGTGTCTTTTGCATCGAATGCTCTTGTCTATTTGTGCATCGTATAAAACTTGCTATTTGCATAATATCTTCAACTACGAAAGCCGTAGTGTGCATTGGACAAGAGATTGTTGCTTTCCTAATAAGTAATCAAATCCTTTTTTGATGGTCTTCTCCATAACCTCACGACATATGGAAGTCAGACTGACGGGTCCGTAGTTGCCTACAAGGGTACGACTGCCGCTTTTGTGAGGCGGTGTAAGGTAAGCTGTTTTCCAGCCTGTGAGAAGTCTCCCCATATCGGACGATTATGTGCACAGAGCGGATAACGGTGTGATCAACCTCTAGTTAGTTTGAAGTGAAAATAAGCTGAAATATCGGATCGGGAGGATTACATTCCTTTGCTCTTTTTTTACAAAAATCGTTTCTTCTCGAAACAGAGTAGACCGAATAATTGGCGTTCAAATAGTCTCATCACTAGGTTGAATGAAAGCGGTTTCTCAGGTGAAAATCACCCGAAACAAATGAAAAAATGCCCATCTATATTTGTTGCATTCGACATTTCGAAACCATTATCATTTGTCATAACAAGAACGGGGTTCCTGCTATGAGTGCTATTTCGCAATTTTTGAAGTTGAACTGCTCGAAATCTTACCGTCTTTTTAAAGTTAAAATTTTCGCGTTTTCCTTTGGAATTTATATTGTTTGAAGGCTGCATTTTGGTTGCTTCCGCAAAATTTCTTCCACAATCGTTCCTTCTTGTCAATCTCTTGTTAACCAGTGAAGTCGGTTGGATATCACAGGATTTGATAACGGACAATGAATATGCATTAGACGCAACAAATGTTCCTTAAATAGGTTTAAGTAGTCAATGTCATTTTCAGAGAGTAGAAGATCCCGGTCTATTTGCGATACATCAGCTGTCATTTGGTATATGTCGCCCTGCCTAATATTGGACAGACTGCATCAAATACAGACCGTAATTCAATGCGAATACTACATGATCATTTCGACCAAGCGGAGGTTGACAGCACCTCGTCTATATTGTCCGGATTTTTCGTAAGGACGAGACTTAAACAATGTTCCGCCTTCGCTCTACGTGCTGTAGTTGGAATGAGGAAATTATCTGTGAGAAAGGCTCAGAGTATTATCTTTAGCAGACGGAGACTGAAGGCATACTTAAAGCACTTCGCGTGCAAAGCACTCCATGTGATGCTGGGCGCATTCAAGTCACCCATGAGAAAAACATCAGATCGACTGCTAATCTCATTTATACGCTCTAGTAAATAATTATATGCATCGGTGCCTGTTCACGGTAGTCGGTAAACAGTCACGTTTTCAAGGGACGGCGATTATCTTAAAATTCGGATAGTCCATAACCTTTGGCGTAAAAATTTAGATAAACCTTCGTCTTTTCGGTCATGTATAATGTTTCAGATTCGATATGCTGAAGTATGATGGGTAATTAATACTTAGTGAGCGATTAAGTCTTGTATGAAGCATATTCAGAAACGAAGACGTTGTTCGTAGGTGGCAGGTTTAGCCTGCTCTTCGAATACCTTATTTTGTTGCCAACTTCAGAGCCTTACTTCACTTTTGAACCCGTTCAGATTTTTGTAAAACTCCACTGGTGAGTTTCGAACCTTGTGTATATCCACAAGTTTCATGCCTATCTTGTATGCAACTTGTTAGCCACTTTGACCTTGAATCGCCACCGCGACAAATCTGGTGTGCACTTCAGCCCTCGGGAGCATGACCCTTCAG